GTGGAGACTGGTCTGAGATTTCTCGAGAGAAGGAGACTCCACAGCCTCCCTGGGCAGCCTGTTCCAGGGCTCTGTCACCCTCAGAGGGAAGAAGTTCTTCCTCATGTTCAGCTGGAACTTCCCAGGCTTCAGTTTGTGCCCGTTGCCCCTTGTCCTGTCGCTGGGCACCACTGGAAAGAGTCTGGCCCCGTCCTCCTGACCCCCACCCTGCAGATATTTAGAGGCATTTCTAAGGTCCCCTCTCAGCCTTCTCTTCTCCAGGCTAAACAAGCACAGCTCCCTCAGCCTTTCCTCATAGGAGAGATCTTCCTAACCCAGAGCCTTCCCTTTAGGTTGGAGGGGTCCCACGAAAGGGGCTGTGCCCTGTAGGACTTGAACCAAGTGGTCTGATTTTAGTTACATGCAACCTTAAGAAGAAACACCAGCATGGTGAGAATTGTTGAAACTGTGTACTAAATTAATACCAGTAATCGTTGGGGTAGATTTGGAGTATTTGCATAGTAAGAGCATCCAACTCCTTAACATCTGAAGTCCAGCGGGTTGGAGAACAAGCCACCAACCCGAGGATCGCAGTGCATGGCGTTGCGCTTGGTGGGAACCTCTCCTTGGATGCTCTCCAGCTGCAGCAGTTCTGACCTCACCTCTGCATCCCGTGGTTGCAATCCTACGTTCCGTCAGAGTTTACGTTGACTCCAAAAATCAGTTGCTGAGTAAGGCCGAGTGATGGCTGCCTAACTCACAGGCTGCCCTCAAACTAGTGCTGGTTATCACAGGGCAAGGTCAGGCAGGAGAAGTAAAGGCATGGAGGGTTTGCTGCTGTGTGCTGGTCCAGGGCCTTGGGACACAGAAGGATTCACACCGTCCTTGCTGCGCTTCTGAGTGATTGAAGTGGTTCTCACCCAATAAATACAGAGCTGCTGCTGTTAACAGCAGACCATAGGCTTTGTGCTAAGTAACCTTGGGCTTACCCGGGACTGTCTTGAACAGCCATGGGTTGGGGTTAGCTGTAACTGCAAAAATTGAGAAGGGTCATGAGGTGGTTGGGAGGGCTATGTCCTACAGCTTAATGCCAGCTCTGTGGTGGCATGGGCTAACGGTGGGTGGCAAAGGTCCAACAACACTGAGCAGACGTCATGAAACCAGCCCACGGACGAGCCAGAAAAGAAAATATGGCCAAGCAGGCAAGGTTAAGAAAGCAGAGAATACTTCCAGGCACAGGAGACAGGCGTGCCCGAGGACTTTCTTATCTCAGAGCACATCCACGATGCACAGAGGGCCTGGAGGTGCTTCGTGAGCTGACGCCTCTGACCCTGGAGAAAGTGGTTGTGGAAATCCCAGATGGCCGATGAGTGGCCTAGAAAGGGGGGACTCCGGGGACAGCACCGGAGGGGGCTGGGGTGCGGCTGGGGGTGTAGGCGTGGGGGCCATGTTCCCAGGGCTTTGCTCCCTGATGATGGGAGATGGTCACCGGTGAGCTCCCGCCGTGCTCCCCCTCACCTTCTCCTTGGGAGCAACGTGAAATCAGGTGAAATAATGCGGATTATCTGTCCTTAAAGACTTCCAGCCTGCATGAGAGCCCTGTTGCACCCAGGGTCCTAAATCCTGCGTGCTGGGTATGATCCCGGTGCTGAACCATAGGTCTCCACTTATAGATTTGACTTTTATTTAGTTAAATCTTAAAGCCCTGTATGGAGTAGAAGGACTGTCCAGCTGCAAATCACAGCTCTAGATACTCCTCATCACCCTTCCCATCTCTGCCGGGGGGGCCGGGCCTCCCGATACCCCAATGACCTGGTGGACATCCAGGTTTCTCCCCAGCGCCGCCAGACAGAAGAAGTCACGCTGGGGAGATGTTTCTCTCCGCAGCTCCTGGTTCCTCAGCCACCAGAGGGAGATGCTGCTCAAGGCCACACAAGCGGACGCCTTGTTCCAGACGCTGCGTGCCCACCCAGCACCCGGGTTACCGGAGGAGATGGATGGATGTGCCGGAATGATGCTGCTGTGGCATCGCAGATGGGAGCTGGTGGGAGCGAAATGGGAGGCTCTGGGTTGCTGGAGGTGGCTGATTCGGTGGACAGCAAGTGCCTGGAGGAAAGAGGACGTGGCTGTAGAAGTCTCCTCCCACCTCCCCAGGCATCACCGGCCCATGGTGATGGGAGACACTTGCCAGGGTCTCGCCAAGGTGGTATTCAGGGTCAGAAAGGGTCATACCCATCTGCAAGTATCCCATGGTGACTTCAGGTCTGAAGGTGCGTGGGCAAGGGGAGATGTCAGTGACTGCGTTGGACGCGGCGTGGGAACCTGCTGGTTTGGTAGAACCGGCTCCAGCTGTCACCACCACGGTGCTGAGTCCTGATATTCGGCGGTGTACCCGCGGAGCTGCGCGCACGGGCCTGGGCGGGTGACAGGGCCACCTCCCCTCTGGTCTGTCTTATCAGCAGAGGTCCCACAAAGCCCAGGTCGCTGCTCTTTGTGGAGCAATGTGGTCCTGGGCCAGCCCAAACCCAGGGCGTGAAGCTGCACGAGAAACTGCAGCTGAGGAAGAACGTGGCAGACGGGCGACGAACCAGCTGCTCAGGGGAACCAGCTGATGTTTCCTCCAAGTGTCCCAAATGCGTGAGGAGACCCAGCCAGACGCTCTGCTCCTTCTTCAGCGTTTCCCACACAGCTCTTCTTGGATGAGATGCATTATCCTGAGCTAGACCTTAGGATCTGCCCAGCCTTTGGGAACGCTCATCACTGACGTTTGGGCTTCAACCACCTGGGGAACATCTGGAGTGGGGGATTCCTCCATCCCACTGCACTCGGACAGATTGTCCCGCGCTCTTGCCTGCTCTGGAATAGAAAATTTCCGCTCATTTACCTCCTATGAATACTTTTGTTCGTTTTGTTAATGAAGGAAACTCTCTCCAGCGCTTCAGAGAGGCAGAGGGCCATGCCCCGGCGCGGGAGAGCTGGGTGCCACCGGTGTGGAGCGGAGTTCTCGTGGGCTGCGGGAGGACAGCAAGGAGCAGAGAGCAGGAATCGAGGGTGAAGCTGGACAACGCAGGGAGCGACCCGTGGGCTCCCGGGGAGAACTGGCTGTGCCGCTCGCCGGTGAGCTGGCCAAAAACAGCCAGGCAGGGACGGAGGCTGCGTCCCCAATAAATTAAACAGCACCCGGGTGAGCGCTGGGGCTCGGGGACGCGGCTGCCCAGCCCGCTGGCACCGTCCCCTCGGCTTGCTGGCTTCGGTGGGTCGCGCTCGG